GATATTAGAACGAAAACTACAGACCAAAATCTCTCATAAATACAGATACAGAAATCCTTAACAAAAATATTAGCAATTAGAATTCAGTAATACATTATAAGAATTGAAGACTAGGACCAAGTACAGTGTATTCAGGGATGCATGGCTGGTTCAATATTGGAAAATCAATGAATATAATCCACCATATTAACAGGCTAAAGAAAAAAAAATCACATGATAACATCAAACAGTGGAGAAAAAGCACCTGACACAATTCAACACCCATTCATAATAAAAACTCTCAGAAAAATAAGAATGGAGAGAAACATCCTCAACTTGGTACAGATCATCTACAAAAACCTACAGGTAACATCATGCTTAATGGCGAGAGACTGAATTCTTTCCCTCTAAGATTAGGAGCAAAGTGGCTGTAGGCAATCCTTGTAGCTTCATCACTCCATCTCTCTCCATTATTGCAGTGTCTTCCTTTCTGTGTGTCTTCACATGGACTTCTTATAAGGACACCAGTCATTGGATTTAGGACTCACTTGAATCCAGTAGGACCTCATTAGCTAATTACATTTGGAATGACCCTATATCCAAATAAGGTCGTGTTCTGAGTTTTTAGTAGACATTTGAGCGGGGGGCAGCGCTATTCAACCCAGTACCTGTACCCTGGCTGTATCAATGTCAATATTCTGATTGTGGTATTATACTATAGTTTTGTGAGATCTGACTATTGGGGGAAACTGGGTAAAGGGTATGTGGTATCTCTGTGAGGTTACAATTTCATGTGAATCTACCGTTATCTCAGAATAAAACATTTAATTCAAAAAATTATATATTCACTGTTCTTAGAGATTATACAGTGAGTATATTTTCAGAGTACCTCATTGGCCACATTACTGGAAACAGATGACTTAAGTTTACCTCCTATCATGAATTTCTTTTCCATCGTAATACTCTAAATATACAAATATAAAAATATATCAGACCTACCTACAAAAATGCACCAGTTTCACTTTTTTGTTTGTTTTATTAAGTTCTGAAAAGTTCAGACATCCTTTATGACCCTGTGAAGCGTACAAAGTACATATAATTGAAAACCCTTTAAGTCGTCTGAGAACAATAAATGGTCTCCTTTATTTTCAAGAGATCAACAATAAGACAAAAAAAATCTAATATATACTTCCTTGGAACTTGTACTGGATGAACAATTCCTTTATAATTTCTAGTTAAACTATATAAGAATAATGACTGGGCCATTTTAGAAAATTTAGTTGTCAATATTTGAGAACAAGGGATCAGCAATAAACACTACATTATGTAATACACAACTATAGGAATTATATCCCACAGATTAAACTAGAACCCAGTAAGATCTCCTGGGTCTGTTCTTCATTACTGAATCACACCGATTCCAAATACAACTTGGGCAATTGCCAAAAAAAAAAAGACCACTTTTGAGGAGTTAAACTAGTATCTGTGATTTACATTAATCAGCATATACTGTTTATAGGCACAGAGTTGACTCTGTTGAACCTGTGCTCTCACTACCCAAGGCCCTCTCTTTTTCTGGCTGTAGTTTGGTCCTGGTACCTCCACTGGTCAATCTGTGCTATGGGCATGAGGCTTGAAGTGGTAGCCTCACATTTGCCAACTCTTTGTATGCCAGGGAAGGTCTAAGATGGAGCCCCACCAGTTAGATCAATAATTGTGTGATTCATATTTGTAAAACTGGCCGAGAACATTTATTTACAGTGTTTTTTTAAATAGTTGAAAATGCAAAAAAAAAAATCAGCATATACTGGATAAGAAAACCTATAATGAAAATCACCAAAGGAATAGAATCATACAGAAAATATTCTCCCCGTGTTTCTTTGATTAATGAAAGATAGACAGATAGGTAGATAGATAGATAGAAAATTGTGTGTAAAATTGAGGCTATTGTCGACTGAAAAAAAAATGCACAATGTTGAGAGTTGTGAATTAAGTTTATTTGGGGCAAATTGAGATCTATAGCCCGGGAGACAGCATTTCATATAGCTCTGAGAAACTGCTCCAAAGAGGTATGGGGGAAGGTCAGTATATATGTGATTTTGGTGAAGGGGGAGTATGTGCAATCAAGCACACGTTTTTGCAGAAGGTTGCTGCTAGTCACAAGGAGCAGACATCACCATGAAGGATTTTAGTGCCATTTCAGATATGGGGAGACACGAGAATTGGGCTCATAAAATCTTCTCCTGAAAATATCTATCTGAAGGCCTGTTTTGCCAGTTTTTCCCAGAGCACAGGGTGCCTCCTTCCTGGTCTCCACCCTGCACTCCTTTTGGGGTATGTTGAAGGTCGGCAGCTTACGGTTTAATCCTTGTAGAAGCAGATAGCAAGTGCCACTTTTTAGTTGGTACTATTTTTCAAGGACTGTATTATCTCCGTGTTGATTTGCTCAGTTTAGCAGAAGATCTTAAGAGTATTTTGCTTCAAGCAATACTTCCTTAAGCCTTTATTCGTCACATTTCTCTTTTAATAGCTCAAGAAGAATCTGTGACTGATTTTTCTATTTGATTTATTCAAAATACACCAAGAGCTAAAATTAAGTTTTAGAAAAATGGCCAAGAATTAATGTTTGTACCTTTTTCCTTAATAAAAATTGTATTTTCCTCCTACAGTTTTCAATCATATATATAAAATAAATTTCTTCAGGCTGTAATCATAGCTCTCGCAATTGCATGCTCAGTAGACTTCCCTTTATAGTAACTGTAATTTCCAACACTATATATAATAACACTAAAGACTAAAGTTACTTTTAGTCAATTGAAAGGAAAAAAATGGAGACTTTTCAGGTAATTATACATATAACCACTAATTTAAATGATAGTCTGAAGGATTCAACAAGTGAAGGAATCACTTATGTTAATTTGCAGTTATAGGCATTTTTCTTCATATTGTAGACTTATATTAGTCAAAGATTCTCTGGAGAAACAGAACCAATAGTATATATACAGATATGTAAGAGGAGATTTATTATAGGAATCGGGATCCTGGGAGTGGGCCACTGGTATAATTCCCAGTTTCCCAGAACCAGGAACTCTGATGTCCAGGGGGAAGAGAAGATGGATATCCCAACTCAGGAAGAGAAGGAATGTACCCTTCCTTCACCTTTTCATTCTATTCAGGCCTCAATGGATTGGGTGATGCCCCACCCACAGTGGTGAGGGCGATCTGCTTTACTTAGTCTACTGATTCACATGCTAATCGCTTCCAGAAACACACTCACAGAAACACCCAGAAACAGTGCTCTACCAGCTATGTGGGCATCTCTTAGCCCAGGCAAGTTAACACATGAAATTAACCATCACAAGACTCTTACACCTGTAAAAATATTAAAAACAAATTGTTTTATATGAGATATGTATCACTGATGTCATTTTTTTATATTCAGAGAAATGCAACATTTATTCCTGTATTTTCTGTCATCAGTGTGCCAAGCACTTTCATTGTTGGAAAGCAATCCAATTAATCATTTTTGTATTTGCCTAATGTTATGATACAAATTAGAAACAATTCTGATAAGCTTAAGTGAGAATGCTCTTGGTGCTCATGCTAAGCAAATTAGGGATGCCCAGTCATTTATTTTCACTTCAGTGTGTGTGTGTGTGTGTGTGTGTGTGTGTGTGTGTGTGTGTGTTATGGGGTGGGGGTGTGCGGAGAGTGGGAGGGGATGAAAATAAGTACTCCTAGGAAGAAAAATTAAAAAACAAAATCTGTATAATATTTTTCAGAACTGAAAAGCTGTGGCAGAAAGAGGAGATAATAGTCTTTAGGTAGCATTTATGATTGTGTGTGCAGAAAGTTGAGGGATATACAAGTACCTACAGTTTGCTTAAGTGTTTATACTACAAGCAAATATATTTAGTACTTTTATTTAAAATTAGGATAATATAGTTGAAAATATTTTATTTTCTCTGTGAGCTTCTATATGCAATCCCATGCAATTGGAATTTGATAGTCCTTTACATAAAGAGAATGAGAATTAGCTAAGACCTCTTATTATTTCAGGCTTCTGTGCTTCATGCACGGGCATTTCAAAGTATCAGAGAGTAACAGGGGCTAGCTTTTATTAAAGGAAATGTGTGTCTTAAGACATTTACTTCTCAAAATTTTTATGACAGTAGTAAACTTGATTCTCTTGTGATGTCCATAAAGTTTTAAGTATCATTCTTACTCAGTCATTTTTAACCAGAACTGTGGACACCTTCTGACGTTAACTATCAAATACATGTGCTGTACAAAATAGCCAAACTGCAGTCATCATAGTAGAAGAGAAGCAAGGGCTAGCAGTATTTATACACAGTTCATTGGTCAACTCATGAACATATGTGGACAATTATAAATTTGTCCCCTTAGCAATTCTGAGCTTTGGATCACATATGCAAATAGTATATTCTTTAAAGTTCTGGGAAGTATCTGGTGAGTCATGCATTTGGAGATAGAGATGCCCCATTTGGTGGCCTGAGCTATTCCTTCATCATATCCATCAGTTACCTTTCTGCAGACCAAAAGAGAAGGGGGACTTCTCTGCCGGAGCCACTCAGTGGAGATTTTTTCCGTATACGTTAAAGCTGTAGTTCCCCTCCCACTCTGTTCAGTCCTCTAAATTCTACTTTTTTAGAACCTAACTATAAAATTTTAGAAATAAAATTAACTGTAAGGATTATTTTACTGACTAGGAAAGTTAGACTCAGCATTATTAATTGCATGACTAATTAGTGGTGAAGCTGGTGATCACACAATCGGCAAGACTTCTAGCCCAGTTTCCTTTGACTATACTACACTGCTTCTTTCCCCCCACTCCTCCTCCTTTTATTCTCAGGATGGACCTGAGAAGCATTCAAGTAATGTCTTGGTGGCACTTCTTTAAGCATTTTCCTTCTCCATACACAAAACTGCTCTGAAAAATCATATTATTGACCATAACAATCTGTTTAATTCTTAAGGAACCTCTGTTTTTCTCCAAACAGCCTCAAAACCAGTGGACTTGAAATCATGTGCTGGCCCTATCCCTAATACGACACAGCTGTGCCACATTCCCTGTCCTGTTGAATGTGAGGTTTCAACTTGGACAGCTTGGGGACCTTGTACTTACGAAAATTGTAATGACCAGCAAGGCAAAAAAGGTATGTAATATTAAAATGGCATGCTTAAAACTCCCACCAATTGGGTCAAACCATGAATTATTAACAAATGCTGCTCTGTGTTCCTGTGATCATTCATTTGCAGTATTTTCCAGAATGGCTAAAGAGTATTGATCTTTAGCACAAAAGAATTATAAACCTATTCTGGTGATGATACCAGAAGATTAAAACTGCAGAATGTAGGCAAAATGCTTGTTAATTTAGACAACAGATGGAGAGCATCTGAGGCAGTTGGTGCAGTGGTTAAGATGAGCTGTGGTGTCAGACTGACCTGGATTGGAAAACCTAGTCTGTCCTCTGTTGTTTAGATAAGTTAATTAACTTATTTAAATCTTTGTTCCCTTATCTGTAAAAGGGATGTAATATGATCTGGCACCCAAGTTTTCTTTAAAGACTCAAAGAGATAAACATAAAGCACTTATTTCATTGCCTGACCTGTAGCTAGTGCCTAATAAACAGAACTACTTATTACTTTGAAGGTAAACAAACAAATAATGAATATTGCTTTTATGATGCAAATAATATATCTAAAAGGAATAGAATAAATGCAGTTGTTTACTACATGTTCGGCATGGTAGAGTAATTTTCACATGATCTAGTAACTGAAAACATTTTTCTATTTTGTTTCAAAGGACAGTTTTCCAGTGATTCCAGTATATTCACATAGCAGTAGACAGACTTATTAATTTTGTTATACATTGTCAGAAAGGGCAACACTTAGGTGTTATTAAAGCACAGAGCAGGACTTTGAATACTCCTTGTTAGAGCCCAGATGGTTTATATCCCGAATTCAAATTTCTGGGGAGTCTAAATTCAACTAAGGCTTCAAGAGACAATTTCCTGAAACCATCCAACTTCTCAGAGGTTCCTTTTCAAATTTATTCAAAGTAATAGCACTTTTGTCTGGTCATGAATATTTCTGAATAGGTTGAGATTTTATTGTGTCTTTGAACATTTTACAACTACAGACTTTCCAAATCAACCAATCACCTCTCTCTCTGTCTCTCTTTCTCTTTCTCTCTCTCCAGCCCATTCTTGCTTGACTTTTACTGTAGCAAGCTGACGCCAAAAGTCCCTCTTTGGCCATTCTGTCTATTCATTTAATAAATTATTAATGAGCTCATATTAATCTAGAGTTTGGGGATACACTAGTGATTAAAGCAGATATGAATTCTACCCTCTACCCTCATCCAGCTTTCACCTGGAGTTTCATTCAGCCTTCTGAAATATTCAGCGCATGATGGTAACAGTAAATATTTTCCTTCCCCAACAATTCAGGTTTTAAACTGAGGAAACGGCACATTACCAATGAGCCCACTGGAGGCTCTGGGGGCGCTGGCAACTGCCCTCACTTACTGGAAGCCATTCCCTGTGAGGAGCCATCCTGCTATGACTGGAAAGCAGTGAGGCTAGGAGACTGTGAACCAGATAATGGAAGGGAGTGTGGTCCAGGCACTCAAATTCAAGAGGTTGTGTGCATCAACAGTGATGGTGAGAAAGATTATCTGTCCTGCTTTTATGGATGTCTGTTTGACCCTGGAGATACGGTTTTCCTTATGTTAAAATCTCATGTCTTCTCACATCATAGCTGGTTCCATTTACAAACATAGAAATAGCTTCCCCTTCCTTTCCTTCCTTTCCTCCCCTCCCTCCGCTCCCTCCCTCCCTCCCTCCCTCCCTCCC